TTTAAATAAGAACTTTACAGATATCTTCAATTTCGAGTTTCGGTACGTTAAACGACCCATGCCTATTGTATATCCTAAATACACATGTGGTTAAATTCAATGGGTCGTTGCCATAATCCTTTGTTAAAAATAGACATGGTTTAGTAAGTCCTTGATTTCATCCTTCAAATGGATAACCCTCTGAGGGATTTCAAAGACCCGTGGGAACATGTTTTTTGGTTTACTCAATTTTATTCTGATAAAGTCATGGTTCATGGAAAAGACCATTCTTCCTTGGTGTGACTTGTTGGATTATTCTGTCGCACATTTTGACTATTCAATCGTTGTAAAGTCCATGGCAGACATAATGTCCATAATGATAATAATCTCTTGTGTGATATAAGTGGATACAGTATTGATTCATGTCTGTGCTATCTCTATAGGCTCCAGTTATCTGCAATAATATGTTCAAAACGAGAAAAGTCCCATATATGTTTTGTTTTGTATTAAAAAAACATTCCAAATGCTGTCTACGCATTCCTTTAAAAATATATTTTATTGGATTATTTAATGTTTATAGAAATATCATTATTATTGTTTTCTAATAGAATATTTTATTATTTATTTACGGTTATTTTTATTTAATTGTATTCCAAATAAAAAATGTCCCCAAACCCGAATTTCCCCTGAGATATGTAAAGTGTTCTGAATCTGATTTAGATCTGATAGCCATCCGGCTAAACAAGTGCTATGCTAACAGCAGCTATCCACGCTAACGCTAAGCTGTGTGATAACCATGAAGATGGGCATGGATTTCCAATAGGCTGTTAAACCCCAGGCTTTAGCGAGCTAGCTCTGCCCCGCGGGGGTTGTTGCGTTGCGTAGCATCTTGACATTTCCCCCAGGACCCATGATGCACTTTCTTGTTTGCTGGAGAAATGGACCGTTTGCTGTCCCTGTCACCCGATAGAACACATCACCCACTGCCTGAGAAGATGTGTGTGTGTGCTGTGTGTGTGTGTTGTGTGTGTGTGTTGTTGTGTGTGTGTCTCTGACCAATCCAATTACTATTTATCACTTTCTAATTATATTATTAAAACTTGACATGTGGTTTAATTATGCATAGGAATCTTAATGTTTTATCTAATACCAGGCAATCCACATTCAGGGATGCCAGTATTGTTTGTGTGTGTGTGTGTGGTG